CCCCGATCTTAGAGAAAATCTGTTCTGAAAACGCAATAAAACTAAGACATTGTGTAATTAGGGAAGCTTTTAATTGCTTTTATGAATAATATATATTAAAGACAATATTTTCTGAAGAAAAAAAATTGATGAAAAGTGAATTTTTGCAAGATTTTTCATTTTTTACAATTTAAAATGGAATCATTTTTTAATCTTTTAAAGTTCAATTTCAATGAGATAATTTTTAGATATATATATAAAACTATATTTACTAATCATATATTTTAAAGCTGAAGACCCCAACTATTTTTAAAAGAATTTCGATTATTTTTATATATGTATATCTATGCAGAATTTCTGAAATATGCATGCGCAAACCGATAAATCTATTAATAAAAAGACACACATTTTAAGGGTTGTCCCTCCCCTTACGAGACCCCCCCCCAAGAAAAAACCTAATGAAAATCTGCTACACCATAGTTAATTATGATTACGTTCGGCGGTCAATCCGCCGTCAATAAATCGATTAACACTTTAGAAAAACAAGACCCCGTGGTTAGGAAATGACTGTATACAGCATGTTATGCTATAAGTAATAATATTTGTTTCAATTCAGATTAACTTAACTTTAAATTTGCTAATTTTCCAGAAATAACGTTTCAGAAATATATATTTTATTTTTGCAAGGTTTTTTAAAATGTAAAATTAAGTTTTGTTTACAAATGTCTACAAAATGGCTGACGTGAACGATTTTACTAAAAAAAATGAAGCTCTATTCCAATGAATATAATCTCTATCTGAAATGCATCAAAGTATTTTGCTTAACGGAAATAGTAAATTTAATCCTTTAGCTTTCATTTAACGCTAAATTGAAAACTTCAGGAAAGCTTTTTCATTTTTAAAAATTCATTTTAAACATTACGTATACCGAATTCATGGAGGTACCTATTTTACTGTGTAAGCGTAAGTTCTATGCTAATGTTTTCTTCTATTGCACTTCTCTTTGTGAAGCTCTCTTCCAGTTTTTTTTCTTTTTTTTGACTTTCTATGATCTTGAAAAAATTAAATGCAACGTCAATTGTCGTCTTTTGTCTTCTTGAATGTTGGTCTTTTAATATCCTAACGTTTTTTCAGTTTCTTTCATTGCTTGTTTCTTAGTGGCTTTATCGCCTTGCTTTGGATGAAATGATTTTAAAAAGTTCTTTATTCAAAAAGAATTTCATATAATGTAGAAAATGCGGAACAACTTTATTAGTATAAATAATGAAGATGTACTTTTCAGCCTCTCCTCGTATTAATTGGCATTATCTATTGACGGCACGGGTAAACTAATAAGTATCTATATTTAGTCAAATATATATAGGTGTGTTCACACACATATTTGCAATGTCTGCGTGCTATCAAATTCATTTACATTCCTTTTTAGAAGATAAGCTGCACATGTTTTTGCGAACAGTACGGATGCAGTTGCAATGGGAAATTAAGATAAAGAAAAAATATCTATCTGATTCTTAAACGCAACCGATATAGACTTACCATCTTTTTGCGCTATTTACAATTCAGGGTAAAGATTAATCGTTTAATTTTCCCTTCCATCTTGATCACAATAACCTAACTTAAAAATAATCATTTGATTAAAACGGAAGACACAAAACTAGATAGAAATAAACAGAAACATTGTGTGTTGTATTTGGTGTCGCAAAAATATTTTTTTTTTTTTGGAAAGAAATTATATTATTTTTTTTTCAAGATAAACTTTGAAAAGAAGAAGGATGCGTTTTGTTAATAAACATTAAAGAAAATTGTGTTTACTCTTTGTATTGATAAATGTTTACTCTTTGTATTGTAAAACTGTGTTTACTCTTTGTATTGATAAGTCAAGCTGATCAAGATTTGATGCAACAAATATTACTTAATATTTATTACTCTTATTTTAGTATTAGTTTGACACCATCATGTTGTTTTCTTTTTATCCCCATGTTGGGATATTTTTATTACCAGTTTTATTTTATCATATAATTGTTGCTTTTATCGCAACACTGAATAGGAAGCCATTAAATTATTTTGATGGTAGGAAGCCATTAAAATATTTTGAGGACTGAATGCTATGAATTTATATTATTAAACTAATTTGTATTAACTTAAATGTCGGATGCTATTTTTCAACGTGAACATAGTTGGATAAGAACAGCATGAGAAAGAATCAGAAGCAAAAATAAGCAAAATCTGAATCAGCTGGCAAAAAAGATGAACGCTTTTATGTGGAACAAAATTTAGAAAGCTAGTCCATCAGACTAAACTGGCGGGTTCGATTATCATTAGGTGCCCTGCCTTTGTAGTTTTGTCGCTGATTAAACTAAACAGATTAAATACTGGCGAAGAATATGACATCAGCGTAAATAAGAAACAATGACCGGTCTATGAAGAAATGTTAAAGTGATCAGAACAAATAGTTTTGCACTCAGCAACGAAAAAGAAGACAATATTTGAGATAAACTTTGTAAGTTTGTTAACGGCATTTAAGTCATTTTTCAGTGATGCTTTATTTTATCGTTTTCACTCACCAGACTCGCATCTGTCAGCAAAATGTAATCAGAACAAAATACGCCTCATGCTGGCTTCAGCATGAAGTAAAGCACGCGTATCACCCCCCCCCCACCTCCCAGGCAGGAGCTCCTTCCCTCCTTCTCTCCTTTACTAGAAAATATGTGTGTGTGTGTGTGTGTGTGTGTGTGTGTGTGTGTGTGTGTGAGAGAGAGAGAGAGAGAGAGAGAGAGAGAGAGAGGACTGTCACGAGCGATTAGTGTCTACTATTTCAACGAAAGTGAAACGTAACAAATTTGAAGAGGTATGCCATCTACTCATGAAATTTTGTTGTTGTCACCAAATTGAAATAGCGTCATTTCCGGTGAAGACTTTTGTTTGTCTGTGTGGAAGATAAATATATTGATTAGTTTCAGTATGAACGTTAGAAACACCGAATTCAGTAACCAGTGGGCGAGTGTCAGATGAAACATTTCTTTCAAAAAATTCGACTTATGTTATTTTTATAGCCAATCAACTCTTCACTGCCATATCAGCTAATTTTGGTTTCTTCCAGAGTTATTTGAGCGTTGAAGTCTTTCTGGTTACAGCGTTCACAATGAATCGAAGAACTTATAGACAAAACTAAAAAAGAAAAACTTCCTTTTTTCAGTTTTGTACGCGAAAATTTTAAGTCCTCAAGGCAAGCAAGTGATTTTATATGATAAATAAAAATGCATTCTCTTAGCACATCATGTTGTAATCCAACTTAAATCACTAGATTTGGTCTGTTATTAAATTCATCACAAGGAATTATGATATGCTAGAAACAAAAATTAATATACTGATAGCAGAGTTTTTTTGTTTTTTTTTTTAAAGCAATGAAATATTAATTAATTTTTGTTACACTTTATCTTAAATGCCGCATGCTCCGAAGGAAGGTCGGAGAACGGAATAACCGAAATGTTATAATAAAAGCAACAAAGGGTCTGGCTGGAAATAATTATGGTAGAATATAAGTATGTTCGTTATTACTAATATGTTTTCACTAATTATCTTCTTTATTTTTTAATTAAACAAATTAAAACAAGATTGGAATTTGCATTTCCTTCAGCGTTTTTTATGGACGATGCTTCAATCAGTTTGGCTAACTAAACTAAATGAAGAAAACTAGTAAAAAAATGTGTGATATAACATAAAAAATATGATTATGGCCAAAGTAAGAGAAGCAATAATAATAATAATAATAATAATAATATGGGAACATCCTCAATTGTAGACCGTCTAAGTGGATGGGGGATTCTGAAGGTATTTCTAACGCTGCTTTTATCAAAATCTGTCATCATATCGCATACATTTGTATGTGCCTAGTATACGCTTATCATATTGGTTGCCATGTTGGTATATTGGGATTCGTATATTTGCACCTTCGCGTCACTTTGTAGGCATGCTGCTCTCTTAATAATAATAACAACAATAACGCGTAGAGGAAACTAATTTTTTTTCTTGGTGTGTGTGTGTGTGGGGGTGCTCTCTTTCTGTGATTCTGACAGTAATAAAAAACTCAAAAACATTTGAATAATATGAGAACAATAAAAGTTAAGGAAGAATTTGTTAAATCTTACTCCAGATAATGAAGTTGGCATTTTTTCATCTTTGTGCAACTCAAAATGGATACTATGTGCAAATGTTGAAACTTAAACCCGCTGGGTTGTCAAGTTTTTTTGCTTTTTTTTGCATGTGATTTTCATACTTTTGGTTAATTCGTTTATGAGACATGTTTTGTGTCTGCTACTAACAATATGTCGATTTTACCGTCTCTTGGGTAATATAACTTCAGTCAAAACTGCAAATAATGTGCTACTAGATATGATTGGTTTGTAGAATGAAAACGTCATGAGTTAAACTGGGGACCTTGTTAATATACGCACGTACAAATAAAACAAATAACTATTTATATACGCCCACATGTAAGTGCGTCATTAATATGAGTAAATACCAGGAACACATAACGGTATACAAATTTATATGATTATATATATATATATATATATATATATATATATATATGAAGAGAGAGAGAGAGAGAGACTGAAGAGAAATGAAGAAAAGTGAAAGTAGATTAAAAGGGAGATGAGAAAGAATAGGAATGAGATAGATTGATGTAGAGAGAAATGAGGAAAGAAAGTGAAAAATAAAACTAGAAAATGCAGTGAAAGAGAAAGCGATTGTGGGAGAATGTAGAGCGTGAAAACGAGAAAATTAATGTGTAAATGGCAATGGGAGAAGAGCAAGAAAGAGAGAAAGAGAGAAATGGAGGGAGAAAAGAAAGTTACATGAATTTTCCCTGATTCCATATTTTCTACTCTCAATTCATATGTTGTATCAGACAATGGAATTATGAACCTATCCTCACACACACACACACACACACACACACACACACACACACACACACACACACACACACACACACACACACACACACATTAAAGAGATTAATGAGAAGAACAGAAGAATATAAACAGTGGAGTGAAATTAAAGCAGTAGGAGAAAATGAGGAGAGAAAGAGATAGAGATAGAGAGAGAGAGAGAGAGAGAAAGAAAGAAAAAGAGAGAGAGATAGAAAAAGTGTAATGGTAGCGAAAGAGAGGAAGAAAACGAGTAAACTGATATAATAGCCACATAATTCATAACTGCCCTTTCACACAAATACAGATGCATAACTGCCCTCCCACAAATACAGATTTTTTTTACAAAAGCGACAAAACAAGAAGCATGTTGTTTGTGTGGGCGTTCATATCTTTATGGATATCGAAGAATTCAGCACTGAATTATCTGCATCTTGATTTTGATAGAATTCAGCTGACAAAATGCCCAATAGATGTTTTGTTTTTTTCACTAAAAAGGAAAAACAAAATTTAAGTTGTTAAAAAGATAAGTTTTCAAACGTCTTCCCTCGTGCCACAGATTCTAATATAAAAATATGACACACATTTCTGATGATCGATCGTGATTTTTAATCAATTACCCAAACAATAAACCTGATCGGAAACTGACATACATATTTGTCTGTTGAAAGGTAAGATCCGCAAACCTCAGTAAAAACCCCTTCGAGCCGCATTCAAATTAGCTCCTTTTCCACGAACCTGAGACATTTATTAAGATTACCTTGAAAGAAAGAGAAATACGAAGATTTATTAAGGAGCCACCTTTCAGGATAAACACCAAACACCTGTTTTTACCTCGGCTGAAAAATCTACCAATTATTGAAACTGATGGGAAATGCGCAAGTGACTCAACCACCAAGCAAGGCATCTCATTTTTCTCTTTATTTCAAAGAAGAAATAATCGCGCCATTTACACTAGATTTGTTCAAAGCACCATACAAAAAAAATAATATATATATATATATATATATATATATATATATATATATATATATATATATATATTACTGAAGTTTGTCCAATTTAAACTTTTATCGTTTTTAATTTTTTTTATTTTTTAGTGTAAAACCAATAAAAAGTAATCCATACACATTATCAAAAGTCTATTGTAAAACATCTTAATGTGCATATCTGTTTTTAGAGCAGAGGAAACAATACTTTGATCATCTTATGGTAAATAACACCAAATATAAATGAAAATTAATTTTAATCAGAATGAATTGAAAGATTTTCGCCAATATATATCTTTGAAATCCTTTTTCTCGGGTTAATAAATACGAATACGTAATCGAAAAGTAATTATTTATCAAACTTGCCAAACGCGAACATTATCACCAAGTATTAGACCGGTTTCACAATACACGTGGCCCTGTGTCAAACTTAAGTAAGTCTAACTGGCATTATAAAGTCAAAAAGCACTTGAGGAAAATGGAAAGATCTTTTGAACGACATCAACTTTATTGAACAAGTGCTTGCATCTTTTTACGTTTTGATTTCAAGGGCCTGACCCACCGTGGAAGAAGCCTCCTGAACATTATGTGAATCAATTACTAGAAACCTTCCGTATGGATTCCATTAATACCATCAACGTATCTTTGAAGTAGTGTTGTATTTAGGAAACATGGCCATTATTGATAAAATTCTTTTTTTTCTTTACTTTATTTTATGTTTCTGTAAACAGAGAACGACATTAAAATTTTGTCTGAATTTATTTTACTACTATTAATGATAATAAAAATAAAGGGGATTAAAACTCTGTTGAACTTTGAAATAAAAGACATCCCCCCCCTAACCAGATCAAAGTTAGTTACTGTACACAAGGAAATAGCATATATTTTTTGGACGATCGTTTTTATCTTTGTTGTTCTTATATATATTTTAGCATTTCTCAGATGTCTGGTGCATCGTTTAATCTTTAGAATTGATTCAATACTTTCTTTTCTTCTTACACATTATGCTCTGCCAAACAGAATCGTAGGACTGAGAGCTAAGGAGTTTAATTGCATTAAGTGAGATAAGGCTTACTTTTTGTTGACAAAGAAGAGAAAATAGATAAAATCGGATTTGTTGCTTTCTGTCCGACCCACTATTTCAGGTGGAGGGACGCGGGGTTTAAAAAAGACAAATATCAAAACCTTTACTCGCAGATTGTGTCATTGAACACGGAGATGACGATCATTTTATAACACTAAAAAGGGCTTCAAATATGTTCGCGATTTGACTGAATGAACTCAACATCCAAACAAGATGATGCGAACAGTTCATTAAGGAAATCAAAAATCTCAAAATAAAGAAAAAAAAAACAAACAAATGCAATAAAAAATATTGCGACTACTATGCTATTACCACTATAGAACATTAAGCAAAAATAAACGACGTAATGATTTGAAGGAGAATAGGAGTATAACTGTAAAGAAAAAGGTTTCTGTGATCGAATTGGTTAAGTCGTCGTCCATGTAAGACGAACTTTCAAAATAGAAAATGCGAATTCAAATCTCATTGGAAGATTTATTCCATGTTACATTTAATTTCAAGAAGGTGATTTCATCCAGAACGTTGTGTTAAAACAGGCAATAATATGAATGAAACTACTCAAGTGTAAAGAAAGAAATATTTCATTTCAGAAGTCAAATAACTTAAGACATCCTCAAGATGGCTAAAAAAAATTAACATTAAATTGATTAAAATTTTCTGTTAGAGAAAGTCTGTCGAATCTGAAAATTACAATTTAAAGTTAAACACTTTTAAGCTTAGTCTCAAAACAGTTTGTGGGTGATATGTCCTTCGATTGCCAAATCCCGAACGATAAGAAAACAGATCCGAAAAAAGAATCTTAGAACAATAGTTAGCAAAAGACAAATCCAATAAAAAGAAAAGGATTTTCCAATGTCTTATTAACTGGCACTGTAAACGGCTTTATTGTCATTATGACATTGCCGCTGTTGCTTCTTCTCACATCTATATATCTTCCTTCCTCCGCACACACGCGCACACTGACACGCACACGCCCCCATATATATATATATATATATATATATATATATATATATATATATATATATATATATAGATAGATAGATAGATAGATAGATAGATAGATAGAATGAGATAATGATATAATGTTCCCCGACACTTAATTGTTGAACGAGTCACCAGATTCTTCGTGTTGGCCTCTCATCGTACGTTTCAGATCCATCACTAGAAGTAGATGACGTTTGTTTTATTCATTTTAAGATGGATGGTGGCTGAGTTACCCAAGTTCTGATTACTTTTGCAGAGGTTCGCGGAAATATTATTTTTATTATTGATAGTTGTTTTGAAAATAGGTCTCGCAATGTCATCTTCTTATCATTCGTTACAACTACATACTAATAATAAAACGGAATCTATTTAATATTTATTTAATACTAATTATAGAACGATATTTATTTAATATTTATTTAATTTCAACTAATTAATATCTCTTATTTGGAGCTGAGTAATATTCTCCAATATTTGTTCTGAATCTATTTTTTCATAAATTTCTAATACAGTGTAAGCCGGATATAAGAGAGTTGTCGGGATCGGAGAAGAAGTCTCTTATATCCGGGTTTCTCTTATATCCGGGTTTGGTCTATTTTATATACATTAACACAGGCTCTAATTTGGGACCAGAGAAAATCTCTCTTATATCCGGGTTTCTCTTATATCCGAGTCTCTTATATCCGGGTTACACTGTATTGTTGAAAATTTTCGAACTGTCGTAATTTCTTCAATAATGATTAATTCCTGCTTTTCTCACTATTTCAGATTCATTCTGTAACGGCAACAGATAGATTTTCTTTTCTTTTCTTATAAATAACTATAGAAAGACTCAGATTGTTCCAAAGAATCTCACTTATTCCGAGGTGATGCTTCCTGTGCTATATACATATATTATTATTATTATTATTATTACTTTTATTTCCACCGGACAACAAGTCTCTTCAAATCTGTAGAATTTTCTCAGTATTATCGGACATACTAAATCTGCTGTGTTCTGGAAAGTTTAATCACTCCCACGAAAGTCCAGTTCCTCAATTTATCTTTAGTGTTTTGGTCCCGGTTCAAAGTACCTTAGTTATTGGCACCCCTTAACTTTCATTTCTTGCGGCAAGGTCTTTTTATTTTTTCTAGTTTTTAAAATATTCTTTCAACTTAACTTTTTCGTATGCTGTCACACTTTCGTTGAAAATCGGTTAGACATTTTTTTCTTGTTCACAAATTATTTATTTAGCTTGTTTGAACGGTCGTTACGCTTTCTGACAGAGAAACCTACACAAGAAGAGAGAAAGGATTAGAAAAATCGAGAAGACGAGGTGAGTAAAGAGAATAGGAGGAAAAATAATATGTAAGGAAGCTAGAGACCACCGCTAAGGAATTTATGTGAAAATAACACACACACACACACACACACACACACACACACACACACACACACACACACACACACACACACATACACACACACATATATATATATATATATAATAGAAATATAATTTTATTTATGGGTTAAAGTGCTCAATATTAGGGATAGAGAGTATGTAAATATAAAAGTAGACATTGAAGTCAACACCTTGTCTGAATTCAACACCCAGGTGACAGTCTGTTTCAAGTTTAAACGCAATCGTCAGACCATGACGATTGTGTTGAAACATGAAACAGACTATCACTGCTGAGTGTTGACTTCAATGTCAAATTTAAATATATATATATATATATATATATAGAGAGAGAGAGAGAGAGAGGGAGAGAGAGAGAGGGAGAAAGAGAGGGAGAAAGAGAGGGAGAAAGAAAGAGAAAAATAGAGAGGAGAGAAAAGAAAGAAACAGTAATAAGGTAAATGTATGGAAACAAGAGAGTGAGACAATCTATCTGGCTGGATATCAAGAGACAAAAATCGAAAAGCAGTGTGGGATTGAAAAGCACAGACATTACAGTAAATTGCAATTCTTTTTGAAGAGACAGGTCGGAAGAAAGTTAAGAGAGATGAAAATATGAGAAAAATGCATTTCTTTTTCATTTATATAAAGCTGATCCATGTTTATATAATACATAATTGAAAGCATGGGTCGAGGTTGTAAAAGATAAGGGTGAGAATGATAAGATACATGCAAAAGGTGAAAGAATTTCAGCGTGAGATAATGACGAACCCTAATTGCTAACGTGCGTCGAATTTACACATTTCAGCTTGGAAT